CGGGCTCGACACTTGTCTTGCGCGGGCCGTCTTTACCGCCGGCAAAAACGTTCATTACGTGATTGCGGCCGGTGCATGAATCGGTCGAGAGTACGAGACACACTGGTGCACGGAGTAACCAATAAGCTTTGGCAGAGAAACATTTTATTTTCCTTAAAACAAAAAAAAAGGAAAAAAAAAACTTCCTGTATTCGAACCCACGACCCTCCGGGCTACGGAGTGGGCGCGCTATCTACTGCGCCACCAGACGACTGCTCTAAGAGGAAAGAGGCGATCGGCCTCGACACTTGTCGCCTTGCGCGGTCCTTCTTTATCGTCTTCTTTAGCGACAACAAGAACGTTAATCACGTGATTGCGGCCAATCAGTGCGTCAAAATGAAAAATGCTCTGGGTCCAAAATTAAAGTGCTTGCAATTACGCAATAGGGTATTTCAATGGAGCGCTGCCCGGAACTAAGAAGAACAAAACCGGATACACAGAGCGGTGGTGGGGGCGGGCGCGCGGAGGAGCGGCGGGTGGAGGGGAGCCTCCCCGCCCGCCCTCCGCTCCACCGCGCGCGCGCGCTCCCACCACCGCTCTCTGTATCCGGTTTTGTTCTTCTTAGTTCCGGGCAGCGCTCCATTGAAATACCCTATTAACGCCCTATCGTATGCATCGATCCGACGGACGGCGCTCTAACGAGGAGCGTTCAAGCAAAAAGCGGGTACCCGAAAGAGGTATTTTCCTTTTATCTCGAGAACGAAAAGAGGTAGCGAGTTGCGGTTTGCGGCATGAAAGAGGGCGAAAAACTGAACATTCGCCCCGCTTTCATATACCATCCATCTCGTCTCCTTGTATGAGAAAAAAACGACGGATATCCTTGGGGGTGATGGTTTTCCTCTTGGTGCAGACGTTCAACCCGGGTTTGCGGGAAAACGGTACATTTCAGAAAAAAAGTGTCCTGACCAAAATGTCGAGCTGGTCAGTACGCAATATACGAGCTGTCGTACGATCAATTCCGACCAACGGTGCTCTAACGCGGAGCGTTCAACTGAAAAGCCGGTACCCGCTAGAGGTATTTTCCCTTTATCTCGAGAACGAAAAGAGGTAGCGATTTGCGGTTTGCGGCATGTGAAAGAGGACGAAAAACTAAACAAACCTACCGCTTTCACTCATCGTCCATCTCGTCTCCTTGTATGAGAAATTGCGGCGGGTACCAGTCGGAAGAGGTTTTTTGAACATTTCTCCTAAACGGTACGTCGGAGAAAAACGGGCGAGGGTGGCTTTTGTTCTCCTCGAGATTGCGCGCAATTCTTCTTAGATCGTTTTTCACTCCGGGTACCCGTTCGTAAAAAGAACCCGTTTTAACGCATTTTGAACGGGTATTTTTCACATTTCGTCACTTTTGACACATTTTCGGTCCCCAATTGTCGACGAGGAGAATCGAATGCACTTTGAATGATGCAAATCGGCCGAGCCGTTTTCGAGAAACATTTGTATCGTTAATGAGTCACGCGTGGAGGTTTATATTTGCTGGATTGAACAAATCACGAGACTTGTGAATGCTTGTGATCTATAATATACAGCATGCATCAAGCAAACAAATTTTTTAAGTGCAATAAAATATTTGGGTTAATTACACATTGTTGTACGTCTACACGACGCGTTCCACACCTCTGATATTGTGCCGTAAATGACACCAACCTTAATACAAATTGCAAAAGTAGCATTAGCGTATTTCCATTTTCAAACAATTTCTGTTTTTTTCGTTAAACTTTCACTGACGCCCCGTCAACATTAAGTCCAACGTTTGATGCCTTGAAATAAATACGTATAGCTCCACAACAAACAGCAATATAGTTTATTTATCACACACTATCAATAATCACCGAATTTTCAGCAGTCGGGAGACAAATCTTGCAAGATTGGCAGTTAAAAGCGAAGACACTTTCGTTAAACTGTGTTTTAACTGTAGTCACACTATACAGGGTGGTCCAAAGACCCCTTCCTTTACTTTGCTTAAACTGTACCGCGCATGCGTGCGTGCCGGCGGGCTTACCTACTGTTGCTCACCATGGGCGCCTTACGGCCCCGTGTGATTATGCAACCCGTCCGCACGCGTGCAGGCGGTACACTATAAGCAAAATAAAGGAACGGGTCTGTGGACCACCCTGTAGTTCGGACTGCACTAGGGGGGTTGGCTAGGCTCTGAGGGACATCAGGCCACGGCACTCCTTCCCGTAGCGTGGCGCCATAGCCCAGGGGTACAGACCTCGTCTTCGAATCGGAAGGTTCGGGTTTCAAATCCCATCGGTCGCCGTCAACTTCCATCATCCAAGTAAGTGACTTAGAAGGTTTATAGCGCAGGCACATTGCCACAGCTCTCTCACCGCAGGCTTGCGAGGAGCGGACGCGAAGGGGTTACAGACTAGCGTTCACGTACCTCGTCACTGTGCGCAGGTGTGACGAAATTAGGCAATTACATGAGGGATGCTTTGCTATGACTTTTGTAGGCTGTTGAGAATGGGCTATGAGGCTGTGGTTGGACCTGAGGTAAGAATGGTACAAGGCAGTTCATTTTTATCAGAATTAGTAATTTTTATTTAAAATACCATTCAAGTATTCATAAGATTTATTTTCAGAAAAAAAATTAAGATTGTATGTAAAATAGTATGTATAACTTGAACATTGAAATTTAAAATTAACATATGAAAACGTAAAGAACGTTTAGAACAAATTTGGAGACGCTAAACAACGTGATTATCTATCCTGTCTTCAGATGAAAGCCTGGAACAAACAGATGGAATTAGACACTTTTTGCTTGTGGAGAAATAATTCAGTCTATAGGAAACAATGTCGAATAGCTTACCCTATCTCTTGCTCTTCTTTTTGGCTTTGCTTGACCTGCTTGCTGTTTTGTTGGTCTTCTTCTTCTTTGGAAGCACCTTGTCACAATCGATCTTTGGGTAGTCAACTTGTTCTCTAAACAGAAATAATTTAACATTAGTTAATTTCACTTTTATCACATTGTCGAAATTCGTCATTTTAGGTGACAGAGAGAAACGCAGTCAACATTCAATCAAACTTACGTTTTGCTCCACAGGTTCTTCCACGTGCCGTGCAAGTCTGAGACCGGCTTGGTCTCGTCCCCAGTTATGGTGAGCGCCGCGGCAAGGACCTCTTTGCAGACCGTCACCCACCTCCATTACCCCGCTGCGGATGCCGTTCGCCTTCAGGATCCCGATGAGGCGCCGCTCCGCCATCACACGCGTGCCGTTGCGGCTAAGGCTGTTGACTCTGTTCCACATTGTGCGCGTCCCTTCTTCTACGACGCAGTGCTCGTGCAAGTCCTCAATGTGGTGCCTCAGTTTGATGGTGACATAATTTGAATAATTACAGTAAGGGCAACGTCTCTCTGGCTTGGTGTACTTCACCTGAGACTCGCTCGGCCACTTATACTGTAATCAAAAAAAGGAACTTAAAATACATCCAGGCATATTTGACTAAAATCGTCAGACTTGAACCAAATAAAAACGAAACCTCACCCTTAACTCTTTCTTATCATCAGATGCGAGAGATTCCGCACTATCCTCATCATCGTCTTCGCTGGCCTTGCGCTTCTGTAAAGACAAACCAAAATACAATTATTGTACATTATCGACATTTCCGTCTATTAACAAAGAATATCAACGGAATAGAGAAGGCCATTTTCAGTAGCAATACCTTTGGAGGACGCGATGTCTTTGGCGTGGCGTCAACCAGCACCGCAGCGTCTTGCGCGGCCTTCGCGGCTTTCTCAGCTATTATCAGAGCCCGCTTTGCCTTCTCTGCCAAATTGTTGGCCTCCTTGGCCATGGCTTCTGCAAATTAGGCGACTGCTTGGATGTGGAGTGCATGTGGCCATCGGGCGTGACCTAAAGACGCCAAAACACACACCATTATTGTTTAAGTATTTGACACATAGCCCATTTGTACCTAAATTAGTCAAATATAAAGCATATAGTTACCCGTCCTTGCGCCTTCTTGCTCCCCTTTATGGGTTTGTTGAACGAGCTTTTCCTCAGTCTCTTCCCGTCCATGGCTAGTATCGACAGAGTAAACAACATGTTAGTCCGGACGAAACGTTCACCCAAAACGACAATATTTAACTTCAAGGGAAAAGCATACCTCCTTGACGGCTGACAGACAGATCGCTTCAGATCTAGGCAAGTCTTCACTATCACTCCCGGACCTGCGGCTGCTGCTGCTGCTCCTTCTGTCTCGTCGTGCACTTCATCTTCTCTCCTACTTCAGAAGGGGCCTGCGAAATAAAAAGAAGTATTAAACATAAGCTAACATGACTAAAATCAACATACACAAAGGTCAACAAGTACTCACGTCACTGTCGTCAGAATGCACTTCCTCCTCATCGTCCTCATCTACCACCAGCAGCGAAGACTGTGGAGGAGATGGCGGCGGTGGGGTCGAAGACCTCTTCTTCTTTTTTTCAGAGGAAACCTGCAAAGTAACATACGACCACAAAATGACACATTTGAACGATTTGGCCATTTAAAACAGCAAACGCACTGCCAAGACAAAAACACCTACATTTACTACCGCAGCTTCCTGAACTGATTGCCCCGCCTCATGCTTGGTTGAATCATCACCAAAAAGCTAAGAGAAAACAGAAAAAAATTGTATATTTTAAACAGTGCTCATGTTGGTAAACAAAAAATCACAAAAGCCGCTCTTTTAAAATCAGACCGGCAGCACGACAATCCCGGCCCCACAGACAGTCGCACGCAAGCCCCTCTCCCCTCGCCTACCGCGCCCAGCCACATCGACACTCTGGTCCTGCAACACGGCGCGGCGTGACCATCCCTTAGATCTGAGCAAAACAGGCAGGCTGCAGCGGCAGCACTCTAAACGCCAGGGCGCCGTCCAAGATCAAGCTCCTTGGCGGCGGGCACCACCCGATCGGGAAGCCCAGCCCACGCTGCGCCCACTCGCGCGACACCGTGCCCCCGAGAGGCGCCAAAGGAGGGGGAGATGTATTGATATTGTCGAATTTATCTTGACCTACTCGACCGGACCTTCACCGAGCCGAGCCTCGACCCCCGGGCAGCGCAGGCGTCCTGCAGCACGGCGCGGGACGCAGCTCACTGACTTGACGGATTTCAGTTTTCTGCTTGGCGGGAGCTAACCAGTACAACAACCCTATCAAGATATACTTGCCTACAATCGTCACCACGGCAACGTCAGCCCGCCCGGCGCGACAGACACACAAGTTCTCGTCACAAGTCGGACAAAGTTCTAAGCATTGCACTCAGGAGCCTAACGGGACATCGAGGCTCTGTCCAGGCCGCCTGAGCATGCTAACGGACTCACCCTCCTACCCCTGTATCTGTCGAAATCAAACAGGTTGACAACTGACCAAATTCAAAAACAACAAGCAGGCCCGCCCTTCCGCCAAACGAAGTTGCCAGCTCCGCTTCGCTCCGCCGGCAACTCCGTTCGGCAGGGGCCGGGCCTGCGGCCAGGGCCAGACCATTTCTGTCCCGCGACTTGCTGAAGAACATGATCGAATGATATAGCGGGCCTTCGGCCCGTTTAAACCCGTCGTCTTTGAGTTTGCCCCGTAGAAACGAGAAAGGGATGTAACGGTGAAGCACCGCAACTACAACCCACCCTTCCGCTTAGAGAACTTTTCTTTTTTTTTTTGTGGGGGGGGGGGGGGGGTTCTTTCCTATTTTGCGGTTTTTAGGCCTTTTTCTACAACTTATTGTTCACTATGGCAATTTTTAGCTTATTTTCGTCAAAAAAAGACCCTCTAGCGCTTAAACGGTTAGAGATGGAGCAAAACCGACGAAATTTTCGCCAGGACTCTACTGCGACGAGTTACCCCTTAGAAGAACATAAAGATAAATACTTTTTGGAAGAATTTTTGAATCTTGGATAACCCCATTGACACCCTTAGGGGTGGTTGCCAGGATTTGCCGTCGGCGTTTTGGTCTCTAGGAGTGAACCTTAAGATACCATGAAAATTTCAAGTCTCTAACACATCTCCTTCTAGTAGAACAGACAGACACACAAACAGATAGACAGACATGAGGTCGTTTGCAGAAGCCCGCTGGATAGCTTTCTCAAAGCAGAAGGGCTGGCTAAAAATATCAAAAACGACAAATTCTTCCAATGACGTTTTTTAGAAATATTTTTTTACAGTTTCCTAAGTAGGCGAAAATTTCATCCGTTTGGCTCTATCGTGAATTAAACATTAGTTGACGAGCAAAATTAAACACTTGTTTTACCAGTGTTAGTTTCTTTATCTAAAATGACTTTAATAACTCATTTTACTTACATGTCCAAAAGCAAGGAGGGCAAAAATCGTCACGTGGTGCGCCCCCAGCAACTTGGGTGTGACCTTGTAGGTTTGATCAGATGCCACGGTATCAGACTTGTGGACCATTTTGAGAGCCCTAGGGAAGGCGAAGATGAGAGACTCCTCACCCTTTCTCCCCACCATCCCCTGGAAAAACTGATCTTTGTCGTCTTTTGTACGCCCTGCAAGATTCATGAACAGATATTATGGGCCTGCCGTGACATTTTTCAAAAGGTATGTATTTGAAACATTTGCTTCTAGAAAAGCTTTTATAAAAGGAAAATTCTATTTTCAAATCTGAACTCTACATTAAAATTAAACCTCCTAAACTGTTTGAGTTACAGGGCCTAAAGTACCACTCATTTGTAACTTAAATGTTAGTAACTCAATGTGACAAAACACAAACCACAAACCAAATTAAAAGTTAAAGTTATCAGTTTTGAAATATGTGCGATATTAATCGTACATACTGTAGAAAAAAGTTGGATAAGTCAAATAACTCACTTATTTCTAAAGGACTACAGAAAAAGTTACAAGTTACAACATTAACTCTTAAAATGACGTTAAAGGCACTCAAGCAATAAGTTACAGAGCCCTGGATGTAGCCCCCCTTTGACTGGAACCTACCAAGGTACGAAAAGTCTGGATGTTGGAGACAATCATCCACAGCTTCAAACTTTTGGGGCATCTTGGGCCTGTTTTTAGAACGCTGGTAGGCAACAGCTGCAAAGATGCTTTTAGTAGAGAACATCCCAGCAACCATTCTGTTCTCAATGCTGGAAAATTAGAGGAAAAACTGTCACAGAGATTGTTTCCTGGGCAAAGATCTTTTAGGTGAGGTAGGACCCCCAAAATTGCAAAAAGTGGGGAAAATTAATTCTTATTTTTTGTGCCAAAAGTGCACTCCAATTCTTTCTCTCTTAAGAGAATTTTTGCTCATGGCTTTATTAAATATTTTCAGAGTTAAAGACATTCGAAGAAAACCGTGCCAATCCCCAAATATTTTTGTGAAGTAAAAGAATCAAAAGCTGATAACCAGTTTATCTCGATTTGGAACAACTCTGAAATGTTCCATGCGTTTTAGTTTTGTAGCTACAGTGATGCTTTGCAGAGGTGTTACGTCTTTTATGTAAGTCTACACTTCCAAGGTCTCGTTTTATTTTTAAGTGAAGTTTAATGAGTCATTTTACTATGGCATTTTAGTAGATCTGTTAGTAATTTTAGCTTTGTAAAATAAATAGTGAAGTAAAATTTTCAATATTATGACTGGAGGGGTAGAGACACAATACGACACGTCCTAACAACACTGTTCTATCTGCAGCGTGCGGATTACACAATGTTCTATCTGCAGAGTGTGGATTACACAGTGTTCTATCTGCGAAACGCGGGTTTCGGGGCACCTCCAAAGGAATGCTTATTTCTCCGTAACCGCTCGTTCTACTTCAGTTTTTGCAGTCAATAATTAAACATTGGACCTTTACGATTCTTCCCGTGTGCTCAGATTGGCCTTAATGTCTTCCAGTTACTTACAAACCACACAAAGGTGAAGGGCTGCGCCTAACCCCGTTTTGCAGATAGAACATTGTGTAATCCGCACTCTGCAGATAGAACATTGTGTAATCCGCACTCTGCAGATAGAACATTCTGTAATCCGCACGCTGCAGATAGAACATTGTTGTTAGGATGCGTCGAATATGACATCTTGAAGTTGTCAAGTAGAATGAGACCTTCAGTTCATAAAAAAGACTTTGACCAAAATGTTTATGTCACAATTGGAGACGCATGGAACATTTTCCCCAGGGCTTTACAAGTTGAAAAATGGAACAATAGGACACAAAATTTGGTTCATGTAGGATCCCAATTTGACCGACCCATTACTTACCCTGTCACGAAGTCCTTGTAGATTTGTATGGCAGACCGCCTGTAGCTCTGGGCCAGCAGCAAGTCCACTAGTTCCTTCCTCTTTAACAGATACTGGGCGTAGTGGGGGTTAACTGGGTGGTTGTGCTGCCCAAAGTGCTGAACCAGGGGTTCATGCAAATACCTCTTGCAGTGAGCTTTACAGTTGTAGCCCTGGTAAAAAGGTTGTGATAAGCTCAAAACATACATGATTTAAGGGGAGGCTACAGTGAAAATGGTGTCTCTGTGATGGGCAGGTGAATAATGTAGGGGGCATTGAATTTTTTTTCAGAAATACTCAAAATTATGGTAATTGTTTACTTTAGTGACTCCTCGCTTTGGAGTTACTCAAGTATACCATCGGAAAGGTATTTTTCAGTAGAATCCTGAACAGTATTTATATATTGGCGCTCGAGTCTGGTTTTCCTCAAAATTAAATAAATATGCGTCGCCGCTAACCTTCAGATGCACTTTGAAGACGGCACAATAACTTACGTTTACGGCTACTCCTGACGTTGATCGCTCCGGCTGGGGTTTTTAAATCATTGCTTCTGCATCAAAGACTACGCCTGATTCATAATATCAGGCTTTCTTTCTCTACCGTTGCTTAGATGACAGTTTTCACACTTCTCCAAAAATGCCTTCTGCTTGGCGTGGTCCTACCCAGAAAGGGGGCCGAGTGCTGTCACGTGCGAGGCTACGTACCGGTGAGGCACTCGGGCGGACGGCGGGCTCGGTTGCCAACAACAATGGGCAGTTCAGAGGGGCGCAGGCGCGGGTTAACAGTGGTACCAACAGAATGTAGGAAGATTGTGGCTGCCCGTCCTCCAATGAATTTTCCCTTCTTTTTAACTATAAATATTGCGTTGGACGCTCCGATAAGTGGCTGCTGTTAGCTGCCCGTTTTCGAATAAATTTCCCCGAATAAATTTTCCCTTCTAACCGGCCGTCTCCAAATGATTTTCCCTTCTATGGAGCACGCCTTACTATTCAGCGTCCTCACCTGGAGGCGAGCAAGAGGAGCTCCGGAATGATGTTGAGCGGGTCAGTGCGCGCCGACAACAACAGCAGCAGCAGCAGTCAGCACGACGGTCCCGTCCGCCAGCACCTCTACACGCCCGTACCCGCCCGTGCGGACCCGACGAACCTAAGGTGTCCGTCGGGTCCATCTGGGTCCGCAACGCACTCCACACGCCCCCTGCCTGGCTCGGAAAGCAGCAGCGGATTAGTGTGACTCATAATGAGGGGTGGAAGGACGGAAGAGACAGAGAAAGAAGGTGTTTCAGCAGTTCTGAGAGAAGCTTGCCCACACGGCTGCAGAAGAGTCGCCAGTGGTAGACAACAGTAGGCAGCGCTCCGTCTCACCGCTACCGACCCCACCTCACTCCACTCTCTCGGCGGACCCCGACTACTCGCCCGTCGCGCAGCTCTAGCATACTGAGCGGTTCTCGATCTGAGTTATCCCGCTGATGACTGTGTCTGGCCTCCAAGATCCTTTGGACAGCGACCTTCCTAACATCTTGGCGTGGGTCGACCACCATGGACAAGAAGATGTTCTATGGATGGGCGTAGTAGGCGTTGATCGCGAGTGACTCGAAGATGATCTTCTGTGCCCTTTTCGGAAGACACTGTGACAGAGAAATGTGTTGTAGGAGATGGTGGGGTCCTGAGGTTGCCAACCAGTCCCTTCTGATAGAGAACCACAACACTGCATACACTTTCACGATGTACTCCGTCAGAACTATAAGTGTTTGCAGATGGTCTCCTAGTACCAATGTAGAGCCTTAGCATTCGACAGTTTGTAAGGGAGAGCGGGGTACCATGATCACTTTCTTTGTTTTAGGCCTTCTCTCCCCAATAGTGGTAGATGGCAGCTGGATCATGGGCTCAGGTGGGAGCTATGTCTCTTAGATACAACATGCTTAGGAAATAATTTCTCTCAATCACACCATTTCTGAGCTGGGGATAAAATATTGGGCCCCTGCATTATATGGTACCCCACCTATGGGGTACCGCGACCAGTAGGTGGGATACGATGATCATGCATATTTGTGTCCTAAAAAAGACACCCAAAAATCCGAAAAAAAAACACTTTGAAACTCAGCGAAGGGATTTATGACAATGCCATTGCCAGGGAATCCTGTGGGAAGCGGTCCTTTTCCAGACTGCGCCTAGGAAACGCGTGAGCTCACAGCCGCAAACGTCAAAACCTAATTATGTTAAAATCGAAATCTGGTTAGTGATTTGGATCCAGCTTGTCGGAAGATACCGAAAGGGTCTTTTACGCCGAGACGATCGGAGGCAAAATGTCAGCGGTATTGACGTTCAAAGTGACAATAAGTGCCAAAAATGACTAAGTGTCACTTTGAACGTCAATAACTCTGGTATTTTTCCTCCGATTGTCTCGGCGAATAAGACACTTTCGTTTCCTTTCGACGAGCTGAATCCATAATTCACTAACCAGATTTCGATTTGAGCATAAGAAGTTTTGACGGTTGCATGATCATGGTACCCCGAAACAAGCAGGCCCTCCCTTCGCTTCGCTGCGCCGGCAACTCCGTTCAGCAGGGGTCGGGCCTGCTTGGCCTGCCGGCGGCGATGGTCGGGCCCGACCATTTCTGTCACGCGATTTAACGAAGAACATGATCGAATGATGTAGCGGGCCTTCGGCCCGCTTAAACCTATCGATACCCCCTATGTAAAACCGCTTACCGCCTCGGCGGCTGCGGACAAACGCTCACCTCATCCCCGCCTGCGGACAAACGCTTACCTAGCGTGGCCCTCCGGATAACCGCTTAAGTCGCCTTTTCACCGAAAACGTAATATTGGTATCATTCGAAAGAGAATTTCCGCCTCTTTCAGATGATACTAATATTACGTTTTCGGTAAAAAAGCGACTTAAGCGGTTATCCGGAGCGCCAAGCTAGGTAAGCGGTTGTCCGCAGGCGGGGATGAGGTGAGCGTTTTCTCAGAGCCCCCGAGGCGGTGAGCGGTTTTACATAGGGGGTATCGCTATCGTCTTTGAGTTTGCCCCAAAGACTTGAGAAAGGGATGTAACGGTGAAGCAACGCGACTACAACCCACCCTTCTGCTTAGAAAATGTTTTTTGGGGTGGGGGAAAGTTTCCTTTCTATTTTGCGGGTTTTAGGCCTTTTTCTACATCTTATTGTTCACTATGGCAAGTTTTAGCTTATTTTCGTCAAAAATGCCCCAAAAGACAACTTTTTGGTCTAGAGAGACCTGACCTAACCTCAAGTGTTTCTAAAAAATCGCACTCAGACGTATTTCATTGTAAGAAGGTTACAGAAGGTAGGAAAAAGGTCGCTTTTACTGTCGGACTCAGCATTCGATTATGCTCGATTTACCTCCTAAATTGCTCTCTTTAAATTTATGAACCTCTCCCTTTCTCGCCTTACGCGCCGTGCAACTTCGCACTCTCGGTAAAAACATCCGCTGGCACACTCCCTATCAACGTCTTACAGGTTGGTGGCGGGCGGCGACATCATTGGCGCGTAAATTCAAAATGCTCATCGTGCCCCATGTTCATGGTACCCCGCTCCCCCTTTGTTGTCCACCAGCCATGGTATAATTTCCCACACTTCTTTGCAGCTACTTCTACCGGACAGTCACCAGAGGAAATCGCTTCGCAAAGACTATACAGATGTCTCTGCTCCCAACTAAGTACTCCGGCGTCGAGTAGGGCAACTTGTAAAAAACAAAGGACCAAGGTCTCGAACATTTTCATGTAGATGCATAAACAAATGCAAATTATAACTCATATTTTTTTCCACATAAGTCTTGGAATGTATTACAGAATCTTGCTAAAACTAAACCGGCTTAGGCTATGTCCTCAGAACAAATACTATCAGAGTTCAGAATGGAAACACCATCAACTAAATCAACCATATATAAAAAATTATTGTCAGCCATAACGCCCTGTAGCACAGGCAACATAATGTGGAAAAAGACATTGCGGCATAAAGTGCCCTTCCATAGGTACAAATTGTCGACAGGCAAAGTGACCCTCTGCACAAAGTATGGAAGGTATGGAAGATAGGGGTAACTCGTGAAAGTAGAGCCCTTTGGGCGAAAATTTCGTCCGTTATGCTCTATCTCTAACCGTTTAGGCGCTAGAGGGTATTTTTTGACGAAAATAAGCTAAAAATTGCCATAGTGAACAATAAGTTGTAGTAAAAGGCCTAAAAACCGCAAAATAGAAAGGTTACTCTTCCTCGACCCCTAAAAACGTTTTCTTAGCAGAAGGGTGGGTTGTAGTCACGGTGCTTCACCGTTACATCCCTTTCTTGAGTCTTTGGGGCAAACTCAAAGACGACGGGTTTAAGCGGGCCGAAGGCCCGCTACATCATTCGATCATGTTCTTCAGCAAATCGCGTGACAGAAATGGTCGGGCCGCAGGCCCGACCATCGCCGCCGG